GTTTGAACATTGAAGCGGCCAGCATTAGTATGCAGCTACCAAGTATCGAGTCATCCTCTCTCAGCTTCTCACAGGAAATCTCTATCTCAGCCTATCACGAGAACCGTCGCTGTGGTATACGTGGGCGGACCAGGACTTTAAAAATCTTGAAAATGTTTTTTCTTTAATTTTCATACGGCTACCACATCTTACCAAAAAATGCTTGTTCAGCTCATACGGACGAGTTCTGTTTGGCGTCAATGGGAGGTGTAAATTGCTACGTCTTCTCGCCAGTGTGCAGCGATGCCTCTCCAGTGACGTTTTCGAAACTTCGGAGAAATCGCAAAAAGGTGTTTGTCAACAGGAATTAACATCCACGTGCTCATCTGATATGAGGAAGTCTCGCCGCTGTAATGAAGCAACGACGCATGTTGTCTGTTTGCCTCTTGATCAGTTCATGCTAATAGGGCTTTTCTTATTGACTGTTTTATTATTTGACATTCGGGTATAGTGTAACACTGCCAGCATGAATAAGTTATTTATTATGACGACATTAATGAAGTATTTTGGAGAATAAATATAATATTCTTAACCGCTTTATGTCGCTCTGTCGCACAGATTTGTCACAGTTCATAGAAGTTCGGTTTATTCGGCTTATAAGGTCGACTTTTCAAACAAGCCGTAGTCTTCGAGGTCCAAAAAATGGCTCGGAGTCGTGTTTTAGGGCTTTTCACTTCGAGTTCCCAAACGCCGAGCTCCCGAACGCATTAGTGGCATAGCCCTCGAGTCATCACTTTTCTCGACTCTTCCCCTCAAGCTTTGATAGATTTTTTGGTTCTCATGAGAAAGTTCTGAGAGCTTTTAAAGGCACAGTTCACAATAATTTTGGGAAATCCAGATTGTGACGAAAAATGGAAGATAAGACGGAAAATAGTGCGATGAAGGAACTGCGTGAATCGATGTTTCTAAAGTGAAAAAAAGATTGCGAAAAATCGTTACAAAGGCGGCTGGGTGAGAATGAGACCAGAAAAATGAAGAAGAATGGAGCGTATGGACGAGTTGCACAATGTGTGTCATTACGTACGTATGGGTATTGGAGCGATTTGCTGACTACGGTAAGCGAAAAGTCGTTCACTCATAAGCCCGAGTTAGCAAAAAAAACCCTGATAAAGGCAAAAATAGTCCACCCTCTTCAGACATTGACTTAGAAAGCAAAAAGATTAATAGAGAATAATAGAAAAGGAGAAAAACATCGCCTCATCACGCGGAGATCAGCTGAATGTGTGTGGGTCCTAGAACGAACACTGCTACGGTAAGCGAAAAGTCGTTCACTCATAAGCCCGAGTTAGCAAAAAAAACCCTGATAAAGGCAAAAATAGTTCACCCTTTTCAGATATTGATTTAGAAAGCAAAAAGAATAATAGAGAATAATAGAAAAGGAGAAAAACATCGCCTCATCACGCGGAGATCAGCTGAATGTGTGTGGGTCCTAGAACGAACACTGCAAACTGTATCGACTCGACACTCGTCTGACGTGACATCGATCGACGGAGCTCCCACTATTCTCTAGCTGTTGAGTTTTGGAACTCAACCGTGTCCTTCTTCTGACTTAAGGGGGTACTGGTATTTCTAGAGGGAGAACGCAGAAGCCGATATTATCGTAACTGTGCCTTTAGGGCATGAAATTTTACCCGGAATAGTGGTGACATTCGTCTAAACTGCTCAAACAAATACTAGGGAAAGCATTTAGGCATTTCTGAAAGTCCTAGAGCTGCTGGTACGAGGGCTGCCTTTTATATTTTGAGATTTGGCAACACCTGTGTAGCAATCTAGCAACTGACACCACTATCGTAAAGTTTGACTATTTTGAGGTTACGTTGCAAAATTTGAGCGATTTGTACTGTTTACACTAAGTTATAGGATTTTGATTAGGCCAAGTTATGGGATTGAATCGTGAGCATTTTCGCGCGAGTGTTTTCTACAACTTTCGACGTGGACTAACTCAACAGCAATGCATGGATGAACTTGGTTCGATTTTTGGTGATGAAACTCCATCCACGGCCAGTGTTTATCGATGGTACACTGAGTTCACCCGAGGTCGTAGTTCACTCGAAGACGAATTTCGTGGAGGTCGTCCAAAATCAGTTGTTGTTCCGGAAACCGGTGATACTGTGCACAAACTAACACTGCAAGACCGTCATGTGACCTATCGTGAGATTGGGACAACCTAAGGCATTAGTGGGACCACCACCGATTCAATATTGCATGAACATTCGACTGTAAAAAAATTGTTTTTGAAAAATTTGTCAATCCCCCGAAAAAAGCACTCGTGTCGATTGGTCGAAGGAAATGCTCAAAAAATACGATCGCGCT